TGTTTGCACCCACACTAATTAATGTTGGAAATTTTAGAAAGAAATTAATGGAAATTGACTTTATTTGAATGGAAGGGTAAAACTCTTTATAGTGTATTTTCAAATGAAAGAGTGAACCAAGAGTCATGATTCTTCAAAATGGGGCATAAACATTCTCATATAAGTATCATCCACATGATATTCATTTGCATAAGGTTTTTTTTTTTTTTTTTCAGCAGTTAAAATATGGAAGGGCCAATTACAAATCAAAGAAGTTGATTAAAAATATTTACAAATACATCGTTTACAGTTAGGACTATTGGGGTATCTAATCCCTTTCGCTTCTGTAGCTTTCATTTCTCAATATCAGTGTCAGCCCTCACTCGACCACAAATGGTCTACCACCCCAACTAGCGATTTATAGTATATCTCATATCTTGTGATGATTCATTCAGAGAGGTTGATGGCCTTTCTGATCTCATCCGTATTCCGATCGAAGAAGTGCAATTGTTTCCTGTAAAATAAATAAATAAATAAATAAAAATTGTACCTTGCAAATATTCTCAATTTTCTTAAATATTTATCCCACTTCTCACTAATTAATAATTTCAGCAATGTGAATTACACAATATACACACTAATATGTATAGATAGGGATGTTTGAGTGATGCTATGTAGAAATTATCACATCACTCGATAAAATCACGTGATCAAGGAGATCATGTCATTTCTCCATGCCATGGTCAACTTAGGAGTAAGGCCCCATATGGAGAGATATTAAAATAGTCAAAAAAATCACTAAATTATTCTTTATATTTTTTTTGTATATTTTTTTTTATATAAAAAGTCAAAAAATCACTAATATATAATTCTCAAACACCCTTAAACTAGTAGGAACATGTGGCGTTGGTTCCCTCCATATTTATATCTCTCCATACTCATCCATATTCTTTCTTTTTATGGGTTCAAATTCAGACTCACATTGATGATCTAAACTGTCTTCTTTGTAGGTTCTGTAATAAAGTTCATCCATATAAAAAATTAATTTCATCAGACATCTATAAATACTAAGAACAAATCACATTTTGTTTTTACACTTACACCCCCTAAGGTTTGGTTTAATACATATCACCTTTGACGTTTGAAAAATTACACTAACCCCCATCATTGTAATTGTTTAGATGGAATGAAGATATTGAACTCATGCACTCTCTCTTTTCTTACATTGCTTTACTTCCTTTATTTTTCTTTTCCTTTGCTTTGCTTTATTTTTTATTATGTTCGTGACATTTACCAACAGATGCCACTAAACTTTAGTAGCAATGGCATTTTTTAAAAAATGTCAGGACACTAGGTAGGTGCAAATTACTTTTTATGGCACTTAGGTGAAAAGTTTCATAAACAAATATTTTATAGCATTTTGAGAAATGCCACTAAGTCAAAAACTTTCTAAGCTTATAATGGCATTTTTGAAAAAACAAAAAATGTCAATATATTTTTAAAATTTTTACAATGCAGTAAATGATTAAAAATAAACAAATTAAATTCAATATACACTATAGGAAAAAACATATTCGGCGACTAAATTTCCTGACCAAAAAAAAGTTTGGTCACTGATTATATGGGTTTTACCGACTAAAAAAAATTTTAGTAGCCAAAAGTAAAGCTTTTTGGTGACTAAAAAAATTTTAGTAGCCAAAAGTCTATAATTTGCGACTAAAAAATAAGTTTAGTTGCCAAAAGTGGTTATTTTTAGTGTGGGAGAACTAAAATCCTAACGCGGGAATTAAATTTTTTGGCGATCAAAATTTTGGTAGATGAAAGTGCATCTTCGGTGACCAAATCCGATTTTGGTCGGCAAAAGTTAAGTTTTTTAGCAACTAAAAAACAATTAGTAGCCAAAAGTATAGAATTGGCGACCAAAAAATATTTTTAGTCGCCAAAAGTGGTCTTTTTTTATTTTACTAGTAAATAGTTTATTTTACATAAATTATGTTCAATAAAATAATTATATTTATACATATACTTTTATATTAATATAGATGTATATACTATATAAATAATATATGTTGCATATATAATCATATGGTGTTAAGAGGTGTAGTGGGAAGAGTGTGGTGTATAAGGTTTATGGTGCGGGAGGTTGGTGATTCAAGTCTCTGCAAGAGTGGATCAAATTGTTCTACAATGAATTATCGTCACGAATGGCACTTGATAGCGTCACGAATTGTGCCTACCATGACATTAAAGTGTCACTGAAAGGTTTTAGTCTTGATGGTGTAATGACACTTATAAGTGTCACTAACTCTTTTTTTAATGGCGCTTGATAGTGCCACAAATAATATCTACCATGACATTAAAATGTCATTGAAAGTTTTTAGCCATGATGGTGCAGTGACACTTGCAAGTATCTACCGTGGCACTCGTATCTACCGTGGCACCGATAGAAGTGGCACTTGTTCAAAATGTCACAAGATAAAAAAATGTCATTAGAAGAATAGTTTTGTGGCACTTTCAAATGTCACTAAACTAAGAAAATGTTGTAGTGTGTTAGTGTAATTTACCCTAAAATGAAAGTAGATAGAATTGTAAACTTAAACTATTTATTTTGTAAAACAAAACGTGATTTATTTCTATGTTTATAGTTATTCAATAAATCTAATTTCTTATATAGATAACATTTACTATAAAATTCATTAAGAAACTGATTTAAATCATTAAAGTGAGTGTCGATGGAAACTCGCAAGAAGAGTATGAATGAATATTTACGTAGGAGAGCTTATCCAGAAGTGAAGGCCCCACCAACTCTATCATTGCTGAGAGGGAGTTTTTATGAGCATTAAGGCCGAGCTAAGCCCAGGCGTAGTAATAGGCCGTTCTATGGGCCGTGGTGAAAAGGGCATAGCGAGTAGACCTAGTGTTAGCTCGGTCCAAGTATGGTTACAGTCACCACGATCGGAGTGGTGATAATTATGAATGAATATTTACGTAGGAGAGCTTATCCAGAAGTGAAGGCCCCACCAACTCTATCATTGCTGAGAGGGAGTTTTTATGAGCATTAAGGCCGAGCTAAGCCCAGGCGTAGTAATAGGCCGTTCTATGGGCCGTGGTGAAAAGGGCTTAGCGAGTAGACCTAGTGTTAGCTCGGTCCAAGTATGGTTACAGTCACCACAATCGGAGTGGTGATAATTAGTTGGGTCATAATATTCGGAGCCGAGGTATTTGGGCTTCTTATGGTGGACCTTGCTCTTGTTAGCTCGGTCAAAGCTTGTTGTAGTTATCTCGGTCTCAGCAGACAAAATCAAGGTACAAGTGAACAAGAGCTGAGCTATGTGTTGCATGTAAAGGCGTTGTATTAAGTATGACAAAGGGCTAGTGTTAGCACGGTCATACTGTCATCTAACTGAGGTAAAACCATCTCACTTGGTTTAAGCAGTGAGGGGGTGTTGAAGGATAAACATTATCTTTTAGGAGTGTGGTTCTTAGGAGGACTCTACATGGAGGAATAAGAGTCCTACTAGGATTATGCCAGGCAAAAACTATAAAAGCTCACAACATAACCTATGTAGAGGTAACACACAACTTTGATTCCCGAATACACGAAACTTTTGTCTATTTGTCTATTTTGCTTATTTAGGCATCGGAAAGGTATCCAACACACACCCGTCGGCTAGCTCACATTTGTGTTTTTAGGGAGTAAAGCGACGATGCTTGGAGGAGCGCAACTTGATCAACAGGATTATACGAGAAGATTATTTCGTGCTCGTACAACTGCTTTGTTAGTAGCAGACATGGTCAATTTCTGTTATAGGAATTTATAGCATTTTAAATCCTTCATTTTGATATTAAAAAAAATTAATAAAAATGAGATTCAATACATTTAATATACTTGTGTCTAATTAATTTTTATAATTTTTTTTTAAATGAATCACGTCTGATATCAAAATTTCAACAATTTTTTATTTATTTTTTAATTAAGCTTGATGATATTATTAAATGAGAAAGGCTTTTCTCCCGTCCAAATCAGACTGGTGGGTGTTGTTGGGCCTCTATGAGCCCATCACGGAGTCCGCTTCGATAATCCAAACTGTTATTATATAGGACTCGTCGAGTACTTTAATTCATGTAAAAATGTTATAGGAATTTATAGCATTTTAAATCCTTCATTTTGATATTAAAAAAAATTAATAAAAATGAGATTCAATACATTTAATATACTTGTGTCTAATTAATTTTTATAATTTTTTTTTAAATGAATCACGTCTGATATCAAAATTTCAACAAATTTTTATTTATTTTTTAATTAAGCTTGATGATATTATTAAATGGGAAAGGCTTTTCTCCCGTCCAAATCAGACTGGTGGGTGTTGTTGGGCCTCTATGAGCCCATCACGGAGTCCGCTTCGATAATCCAAACTGTTCATTATATAGGACTCGTCGAGTACTTTAATTCATGTAAAAACATCACATTGATCGGATATTGACAGCCACTTGATTATATTACATTTGTGTCAACGATAACCATTTGATCAAATCATATTTGCATCAACGGTAAGTATAATTTTCAAAATAACTTGTTTACACAAATGTGACCTAATCAAGTGGCTATTGATATCCGATCAACGTGATTTTTTACAATGATGAAATACTCGACGAATCTTACATATTCAACGATTTAGATTATCAATACAGATTTTGTGGTAGACCCATGGAGGTCCAACAACACCTCTAGTTGGGATACCCAACTGAGAAGCCTCTCCCTTATGAAATAATGAAGGATTTGATACCAAATTTTTTTTCAAGTGAATTGATTAAAAGAGATTGTTGGAACAAATTGAGAACTTCAAAAAAAAATTTAAAAATGGATAAAAAATAGAAGTATCACCATTAGAGTAAATTATTTTGAATTATCAACTTGATTTATTAAAAAAATAAATAAATAAAAATAAAAATAAAACTGAAAAGTTGAGATGCCCTTTTATGTTGAAACTTTTTCTTTATGTGCTTTAGTCAACTTGGAATGAATAAGAATGACGAAGAAAAATAATGGGGAATGTGTAGTGGACTGATGAGTATATAATTGAGAGAAACAGTAAATTGAGAGAGCCAAGATAAGGATTGAGGAATGGAGAATAAGGGCATGAGCAAAGACTGTCGAAAGTTTTGATGCTTTTATGAAACGGGTCGGAGCCTCCGATACCATTGCTCCAGAATGCGAAACCAAGGATTTCTTCTCCGATTTCATGAGAGGACTCCTCAAGGTCGATCGCATCGATCGTGGCCGAGTCTCCTGCTTCCTCTCCGTCAAACCCTCCGCTACGGTACTTCATCTCTTCTTTACCCCTTTTTTTCTGCTGCTTTTTCTTCGTATCCTCTCCCAATTCAGATCCCCTTCTGTTTGGATGGTGAGAAAATGTGTTTCTTTATTCATACCTGATAATACATGAAAACAAAAATCAATATGGATATAAACATCTATAGTTAGTTACATTACAAATCAATCTGCTAAAAACGTTTAGATTGCCAATATTATGCACTCGTTTTTTTTTTTTTTTTGGACGGACGTAAAGGAATATATAAAAGCAGCAACATCAGGAAACCATTACATCATTTCTAAGAATTTCAGCAAGAGTAAAGGGAGGATCTGAAACCCAACATGAAGGTGGTAGCCCCTGTTTAGCATAAGTCGTTGCTACCCAATTCGCTGCCCTGTTGTGGACTCTCCTTGTCCATTTGAGCTTCAGATTGCACTGGTTAACTTGGTGGCGAATGTCTAGCAGGATGGCTAGGACCTCCCAAGGAGGGACGTTCTCGGAGGCTCCTAACTTGATGACGGCTTGGTTATCACTTTCAATGGTGATTGATGAAAGATTAGAAGCTTGAGCTAGACTAGTTGCCAACCGGACTGCCTGTGCTTCAGCCGCAAAAGCAGAGGAAGATTGAAAGGATGAGACCATTCCGTCAATGAGATACCCCGCTGAATTTCTTAAGATAGCCGCTGCAGAAGCCTGTGAAGTGCTTTGATTGAAGCTTGCATCACAGTTGATTTTAAAATCACCAACTGGTACTGTGTTTGGCGGGGGATCCCGTCGAGGTTGTGGAGGAGCATCGGATCTAGAAGAAAAGGATCCAAGACCCAAAGTTGTCCCTTCCCTTCAGGCATGGGCAATTTGATCAATGGTGTCTTTTGGGTTGACTGGGATGTGATTGAAAATGAAAGCATTCCTCGTCTTCCAGATGTACCACCCAATACAAGCTATTTTGCTCAAGAACAGACTGCCTGTTGCAGTTTGTCTGTCTTTTTCCATCCACTCCACTGACCATTTGAGAACATTTGCCACATCTCCTTTTTCAATACAGAGATTGAGTAAGCTACCAAACCAAGCGCAGTCAAAAAGCACATGTTCAACTGATTAATCCTCCTTTAAACAAATGGGGCAAACCTGGGATGTTGAACACCGACGTCTGTACAGATTTGCCCTTGTAGCCAACAAATTCTTTCAAGCCTGCCACCAGAAATGTCTGATTTTTGGTGGGACTTCCATACACCAAACGAATTTCCAAAAACCATCCAGAGTATGGAATGAGCTTGTCGGCTGGTCCCGAGTGCTTTGCCACCCAATACCCAGACTTGACAGAATAAATCTCCTCCTGTTGTGGTGCCAAACCAATGAGTCTTCTCTATCTGCTCATGAGATGGGAATAGACTGGATTACTTGGATCTCCTCCGGGGATAGAGAATTTTTAATGTTTCCAACCTGCCACTGTTTATGGACGGGATTGATAGCGTCTGAAACCAGGTTAATGCTGCAATGTGGCGGCTGTAGAGAGGATAGCTTGAAATTTCCCATAGGTACCCACTTGTCTTCCCAAAACAGAATAGATTTCCCATCTTGGACTTGCCACCGAATTCCTTTGGAAAGAAGAGCCCTCCCCTCAAGCAAGCTATTCCATGCCCAAGAGGCTTTAGCTCCTCAAGAGGCTTGGAGGAAAGTGGAGTGAGGAAAATACAGTCCTTTAAAGATCTTGGCCCAATAAGAGTGTGGATTGGAGAGCAACCGCCACCCTTCTTTAATGAGCATAGCTTGATTAAAAGTAGAGAAATCTCTAAACCCCAAACCTCCAAGGAGCTTGGAATGGCACATACTTTCCCACTTGGCCCACGAGATTCCTTTGTTCATCGGGTCGCCTTTCCACCAAAAATTCCGAATTGCTTTGTTGATCTTGTTGCAGAAATATTTCGGGAAAGAAAAACAGGCCATGGCGTAAGATGGGATAGCTTGGACAACAACCTTGATTAAAGTTTCCCTTCCCGCATGGGATAGGAGTTTACCCTTCCACCCTTGCATCTTTGCAGACATTCTGTCGACCAAAAAACCATAAGCCTTAGCTTTTGAACGACCCCACCAAGATGGTAGCCCTAGATATTTAACCCTTGGGCTGGCTAACGGGATATCCATCAGAGTGCACAGCTAATCTTGCAACTCTCGAGAGGCATTTGTCGAGAAAAAAACCTCCGACTTTCCCAAGTTAATTAATTGACCCGAAGCACTGCTATTGACATGTAGGGTACGTAGCATATTCAGGCATTTCGTATGACGGGCTCGGAGGAATAGAAGGACATCATCCGCAAAGAACAAATGCAAGAGGATGGGACAATGCCTATGCATCTTGATGCCTGAAAAATCCTTGTTAGCAAGGCCTTTGTCAATTAGTTTAGATAGAATTTTAGCCACTAACAAGAACAAGTATGGCGACAGTGGATCTCCTTACCGAAGTCCGCACAAGGGTTTGAAAGAAGCCCCTTTTTCCCCATTGGCAAAAATGGAGAAATGGACGGTAGAAACACATTCCATCACCCATTTTATCCATATTACATGGAAACCCATCCATTCCAGCACAACTTGTAGAAAATCCCACTGAATACGATCACAAGCCTTATTAAAGTCTAACTTTAAAGCTAGATCAGCCTGTCCACCCCTCTTTTTCTGTTTCAAGAAGTGAAAGCCCTCGTAGGCCACCAAAATGCTATCTTGGATTTGCCGTCCTGGAACAAAAGCTGCCTGGTTTAGGGAGATAAGCTTGTGAAGACAGCGCTTAAGCCTGTTAGCCAAGATTTTTGTGATGATCTTCATTTTGAAATTGCATAGGCTAATTGGTCTATAGTGATTCAACTTCTCCGGAGCCACAATCTTGGGGATCAGAACCAAATTGGTATGATTCCACTCGGTATTGAGGGAGCCGTGATCGAAAAAATCTTTAATTGCCAAACACACCTCCGGACCCACAATCGCCCAGTGTTTTTGGTAGAAGATACCTTGAAAGCCATCTGAACCTGGCGCCTTGAGAGGGCCTAGTTGAAAAGCAGCTAGCCTGATCTCATCATCTGATACAGGTTTGATGAGCTTCATATTCATTTCAGTGGATACCTCCCTTTGGATAACCAGCAGAGCCTCCGAAAGATCACGCTCATCAATTGCTGTAAACAAATTTTGAAAGTAGGAAAGCAGATGGTCATTAATCTCATCATCAGATTCTAAAAGAACCTCCTTCTCGGTTTTAAGTTTAAGTAGTTGGTTTCGTTGTCTTCTTTGGATGACCGTGGCATGGAAAAAAGAAGTATTCCTATCCCCATAAGTTAGCCAATTAATTCGAGAGCGTTGATGTTGATACATCTCCTCTCGACTCAGAACTACTGTCAGCTCTTGTTGCAACGCCTGGTCTAAAGCCATCCTATCCACTGAGGAAGGCTGTGCTTGGAGTTTCCGAATTTGCTCTTTCAACTCTCTAATTTTTAGGCGGTTATCCCCAGAACTCATCTTACTCCAAGCCAGCAGTTTGTGGCTACAATTTTTGAGCTTTTGAGACAAATGCAACATAGGAGAGCCGACTGATCCCCCAACCCACGATGAACTAATGACCTCCTCACACTCAGGATGAGTCGTCCACATATTCTCAAACTTGAAGATACGAGGAACTCATTTTGGAGGCACAACACAATGTAACAATAAAAGACAGTGATCGGAGTCGATCAAAGCTTCATGGAAGACCTGGGCATAGGGGAACATTTGTTGCCATTCCATTGTCGCCAACACCTTGTCTAAGCGTTCCCAAACATTCGCATCACCCTCTTGATTGTTTGTCCAAGTGTAAGGAGCCCCTTTAAATTCCAAGTCCATCAAATCACAATCAGCTAATAAGTCTTGGAACATCTGCATCCGATTTCTATTACCTCCCTGTGAACCTTGTTTCTCCCATGACCATCCAATTTTGTTCAAATCCTCCAGACAAAGCCAAGGATACTCATTCTCAATTGCTAGTTTCTGAAGGGTGGTCCAAAAAGCTCATCGATCGTAGATCGGACCATATTATGCACTCATTTGGCATAGCAAATTTTGGGGCTAAAAGGATATTTTAATCCTAAAAATATAAAATAAGTTAAAAAGTTAATAAGATAAAATATCATATTTAAACCATAATCATTTCATTTTTTCTCTTACAAAAATATATAAAAAAAACTTATCATTTTTAGCTAAAATAACTAAAAAGTCAACCCACATCCCAAACGAACTCGGTTTGGCTTCTCAAATTGGTTTGAAAAAGTGATTGACTTGGTAGATCAATTTTGGAATCAATTTTGAAACTGCTTTTGTAATTCAAACTGTTCGTATTTTAGAAATTATTAATTAGAATATTTATATAAAAAATCAAAATGTAACTATATGTTTGAATCAAATTTATATTATAAAAAAATAAATAGATTAAAATTATATTTATCCTCCTTTTGAATCAAATTTGTATTAAAAAAAATAATAGTTATTTTTAAAATTATTTTTGTCGTATATTTTTTGAAAACAAATATAATTGATAAATATTCTACCAATGAGCCTTAACAAATATGATTGATAAATATTCACAAAATACATAGGCCTATTTTGGCAACTAGATTAAAAGTCAATTTTTTAAATTTTTTGACTTATTTAGGTCACATCACATTTCTATTTTTTTGGTACGTTTTTTCAAAAAAAAAAAAAAAAAAAAAAAAAAAAAAAAAAACCATAAAAAACTAGCCAAAAAGGGTTGAATTCTTATTTTGGAAGGATTTTTTGTTTGAATTTCTTGAGTTAGCTACGTATTATAGATATTGACCGTAATATTATGTCATTACCATGGACCAATGGAATTAATGGAGCCAAAAAAAAGAGATTCACCTTTTAACGAAATAAATAATAATTTTTTAATTTTATCAATTTAAATTTAAATTTTCAATGTCTTTAATCTAAATTATTTGTCTATTTTGATTATATAAAATTGAAAAAAA